CTTCTGGGAAAAAGCATCAAAGACATGGCGAGGGAGGGATTACAAGTGAATGTGACCTCACTAGACTGGATCCGCCGCTCTAGGTGCGGGGTGTGTGCGCAGTAAACCCCAATTAACCGGGCAGAAGGGTAGCAGGTACTCTTAACAAAAAGGAAGGCTGGTGTGTTTCTACGCGATTCATTTTCAACAAACACATACAGTGCGCGCGGCTTTAACTGGGCGGAATGTGGTGTTTAAAGGGGAGTTCGGACTCCTCTGGCCCTGCTCCCACCTCGGTGACACTAATGGGGACCCCCATCCTCCTGGTTAATTATCCAGCTCCAGATGCGTCACGAATTTGCTCAGTTCTTCTGGCCAGGGAGGTCAGGGTCCCTATTTTGTCATTTCCACCAGGACCGTGGTGACAGTGGGTGCAGTCCGGGGAGTCTCTGTGAGACCAGGTCTCCCTGGGGTGGACGTCTGGCCACTTGCTGTGTGCATCCAGGCCACTCACTGAGCCTGGGGCCAGGGCCTGAATCAAATGGAAAGAGGAGAGACCGGTTAGCCAAGCGGCAGGGCCACTGGCAGTTGAGGTGCCACTGATGTCCTTGCCTTCCTTTGGTTCCGGAAGGCGGGACTTGTGGGTGTGGTGGGGGAGGCGGAGGGCACCCTTGTGCAAGGCATTTGTGCAGGGAGGTGGGAGGAGTGGGGGTGGGAGGGTTGGGGGCCAGGGCACCTTACTGGACAAGGCCACTTCGTGGAGGGCTGGCAAAGTGTCCTGGAGTGGTTCCTGGAGGCCCGGCCCCACAGAATCCTGGAAGGGGTCCACAGGTCACGGTGGCTGTCAGCGTTGTCTCCAGGGCCCCAGGTCCTATAAACGAACTCCAGCGATGCAGTAAGGCTGATGCATCTTCAGATTCTAGAACTTTCAAGCAGCTTCAGCCTCACCTTTGCAAAGCAGCCTCTGGAGGGACGGCACAGGAGGGGAAGTCCCTGGATGAGATGGATTGATTCAGTGACTTGGGGTAATGGAGATACAGTGAGATTGGCACAGGACAGAGCAGGGTTTGGGGCTATTGTACATAGGGTCGCTATGAGTCACAGGGACTCAAAGGCCCATAACAACAACAATAACTTCATCTGAGGGACCCTGTGAATTGGGGCGCTGCCTGTGCTTCTCAGGCTCAGAAAGGGTTACAGGGACGCAGACTGGGCCCTAAGCCTGCATTTGGGTACCAGCCTGGTCTGTCCTCTTGCTCCTGGGGTGAGAGGGTGGGAGACTTGGGGGATGAGGATACCCCACCCCCAGCAGGGCATCTCTCTGGACCTATGGCCCCAGTGCATATGAGAAGAGACATCCACATTCTCTTCCAGGTAAAAGAGAGCAGCGCTGGCTTTACAATGGTTTCAGGACTGCTGCTGGGTGCCATTGGCGACCCCATATGAAGCAGCAGAACGGCCTCACAGGGCCTCCTTGGCTGCCAGCAGAGAGGTCTCACAGTTCAAACCCACCAACTGCTACTTAGGAGAAAAGGCCTGGTGATCTGCTTCGTTGAAAATGAAGAATTTCAGAAACTTCATGGGCAGTTCTACTCTACCCTGTGTTGCTGTGAGATGCTGTCCAGTGGAAGAGGAAGCGGACTCACAGCTGACTTCCCCAGCCAGAAGCAGTAAATCACATAGACTGCCCACTGGACTCCCTCGGGGCAGCTGGTGGATTCGAACCAGAGGCCTTTGGGTTGGCAGCGCAGTTCCCACCACTTTAGTCCTCAACCCTCTAGGTGGTTTGATTTTTGTTGTTGTTGTTGATGGTGTTTTTAATTCGTTAAAGGCACAGGTCACCAGGTCTCTCCCATGGAGCTTGGGCTAGCAAGTGTGCGTTTAAACCACCGACACTTTGGAGTTAACAACTAAGCAGAGAAAAATGCCAAGAAAAGTCATGGGTGATCTGAGCAACAGTCAAGTGGCAAGGAAATAAAATGCCTTAGTGGGCTGTCACACCACCAGATCATTCTGATCCACTTTCCGACCATTCTTCCCTTCCAAACTCAGAGCCAAGGGCACAGCGCGGGGACTGAAGCAGAGAGTGGGGTTCAAAGGGTACCTCTCTCAATGACAATCGGAGACCATCAGACATTTTGGGGGCCCCTTGAGTTCCTGACAAGGCGACTTCCGGGGTGTCTGGCTCTGCCTACCACTGACAGGCCCCGCCCCCAGGCCTGGAACTGCGGTCCGATTGGCTGGATGCAGTTTGGGGCGCCCTCCAAGGGAGGCACAACGGGGACCAAGGGCGGAGCAAAGGCCTGGCTGCTGCCGTGGGGTCTGCACGCGGCCTGTAAAGGCGTGGCCCCGGGGTCGTGGCCGGACCCCGCTGGGCTGTGGAGGGCCTGGCATTCAAACCCTGCAGAGGGGCGCAGCCTGCAGGGCGGGGACTTCTCTCAGCAGTCTGTGCGCCTCCGAGCGCTCCCAAAAGCTGTCACCAGCACTGGGCACAGCGCGGGCATATGCCTCCCGCCCCCACGCGGGCCAGCCGGTTTCTGGCTGCAGTTAGTGGGGTTGGGGGACACGATGGGGTTGGGGTCCGGTCTGAACTGCGTGCCGAGAGTGTGACTGTCACCCAGGGCGTGCTGGACCCCAGGGACGCTTTCCCAGATATCCTAGAAGCAGGGTGAGAGCCAGGGGCCCACGCTCCCTGGGTAGGGGGACACGATTCAGGGAAGGCCTGCGCTCGCTCCTTGTTCCACGTTGCGTCACAGGAGAGAAGTCAGCCAGGACTGCGTCAGTTTCCCCGCGCCAGAGGAGGAGGGGGCGCGGCCCTGCAGCAGGAACCCCCTCTTTGACACCCCTGCACATCGCAGGCAGGGCGCAGGCGCAGGAGTCCCCGGGCGGTCTGCCCGTCTGGGCCTGGGCGCACTTGGGCAGGGAAGTGCCCAGCCGAGCATAGGACACTAGCAGGAGCACAGCACGCTGAACCCACGAGACTGAGGGTGCCGATGCCAAGACTTAGTGGCGTTGTGGCTTGTGGTCACGCCTGGCTGGGCCTTCTAAGGCCAGGGGCTGACCATCCTGCGCGAGGTCTGGCAAGGAGGGACTCAATGGCAGGTCCAGCCTCGACTCCAAGCCTCCTGAAGCAAGCAGCCTCCCAGGAAGTGCCTGGTTCCCCATTGAGAGATCTGAAAGTGCCTGTCCCACCCAGCCCAGGTGTAGGGGCGCACTGGGGGGGGGCTGGCAGGAACTCAGTCCAACGTAAAGCTTTTGAGCCTGGACCGCAGGGCTGCCTCTGCTGGCTTTTCCATAAATGCGAGGGGCAAAGATGGAAGACTACTCCATGGCTGGGAGCAGGGCAGCCAATCGCCAATCATCTCCAACAAAATTAAAGCCCTGATGGCATCATGTATGTCTACCTGCTAACCAAATGGTCAGCGGTTTGAATCCACTAGAGGGCTACGGGAGAAAGGAGGACTGTCTCTTCCCTTAGAGATTTATAGTCTCTGAAACCCCAGGAAAGGTGGATTGAAGTTGGGATCCCTCCATGGCTGGCAGTGGGAGGCTGAGGGATGTGACAGTGGTACCACCCGCGGATAATGGTGATCTTCATCCTCTGCGTGGTGACTCCGTGGCCTGCCGGGCTCTTGCCCAGCACCGCTGCACCTCCCTGTCGCCGTCACAACAGCTACAGCTGCGGAAGGGCACTGGGCTGCAGTAGCAGCCGCCTGACAGCGTGATAAAATGATCTTCCTTAACTAAACTCGTAAAGCACTGGGCAATAAAACTCAATCTTCTGTAAAATCCAATTAAGTCATTATCTGACTGATTGTATCTTTAATTGAAAACAGAAGTGACAGTAAATTTCTGTGATATATCAGGATCAATCGATACCGCTATCCGATCCAGCCCCAAGAAGTGATTTATAATGTCAAACCTATATAGGTAACTCCACATTATTCTCTCTAAAACCACTGGTGGATGAAATTAAGAGTAAGTGCATTTAATAAAAAACAAGATGGTCAGGTTATTGATTACAACAGACGGGGGTGAAATCAAATAGAGGTTTTCAAAGCACAGAGCGAAGAAAATACAAGTAATTTCTTTTTTTCCTGTTTAATACCGCGCACCAAATATACACACGAGAAAATGCAGTCATCAATAACATTTTTATTTCAGGTACAGCTGCGGCAACACCGAACAATGAATTTTTTAAAGACTAGTTTCATTTCTGGATAGCTTCTGTTACATAAGGTGGTACTTTGCTCCATAAGCGATTTTTAACAAAATAATCAACTCAGAAATCGGTAGTAACTTTTAAAGGCATGCTTAGTTTCAAGTCAGATTACAACCTAAGGTTACAAAACAGTCTAGGCTGCATCCATCTGCCGTCCTGGAGTGGAATGAATGTGCGTGATAAACTGTGTCCTCTTAGAAACAAAACCCAGAAACTCTAGGTTAAGCGGCAGTGCACTGCTTCCCAATGACCCTTTCGGAAAAACCAGCCATTCTTAAGGGCTCTGATTTTTTTTTTTTTCTGGCTCTATTTAAGGCACGTCTGGAAGTGGACAGGACTAGTTTCACTGGCCCTGACTCTGTGTTTTGGTTTTGGAAGGGGTTTCCTCCCTTTTTCTCACTATCAGGCACTTGGCAAAATTTATCCTTTTTTGCAGTTTGATGCACTTAAATATAAGAACCATGGAAGACATCTATGATTTCATTTTGAAACTGTAAGCAATTATCTCCTGATGCCTCAATGAGCTACTGTACTTTCACTGGAGTGAATGTTTATCTTTTTAAACTACAGGTAAACCAGTGTCACCAACCAAAATAAAAAAGGGGGGTTTGCTACTGTTTAGACCCCTGAGTGCTTAATTCTGGCGGATGGGGAAAGTCCCACAAGCCTGAATAAAACACGGAAGTGTTTTAGCCTCAGGGCTGAATTCTAAGGGATATAAACCAAACTCGATCTCAACAGTGAAGTTGGCAAAATATCAACAACAAACCCTGTGGGTCACGGAGCCCCACGACTCTGCTCACTCGTCCTCCTCCATCACCGGTGCCACCGAGAAGCTGCTGGGCTCCGAGGCAGACTCGCACTCCAACACCCCCTTTGTGTTCTCGTTGCTGATGGGGGAGCTGCTGGACAGAGACACCAAGCCGGAGTCCTGGCTGCTGGGCGGTGAGAAGACTGGGCAGAGAGAGAGAGATGGGAGCAGACAGAGCATGTTAGAGGCGAACCCCGAGCCCTTTCAAGCGTTTAGCTATTTAGGATTACATCCTGAGCTTCAGAATTAAAAAGGGTCCTTCTGCCCCTCGGAGCTATTTAACCACGAGAGGGGAAGAAAGGCACCTCAGCTGCAGTTTCATCTTCTTTTAAAAACAAAACCAGACGGGCTGCTGAGACTGAAGGATGTGGCCGGTGGCTGTACACACCGGGCGTGGAGCTGGTGGACGTGGCTGGGCTTCAGCCCCAAATATGTGTGTTTTCAAAGGTTACTTCTCCCTCTTTGGGGATACTACTTCCTACCTAAACGACCCATTCCACCCTACCTCATTACCCACCCTTACTTTAAACCACACGAATCACACTTGTCAACATCCTAGGATTACCCAAGTCAGTTTCCACCCCTGGCTTTCCTCCAGTAGCAGGTAAACCCAGTTTTTCAAAACACAGGCAGCTAAGCTGACTTTATTATACAGCCCAACAACTTTCTGACTGTCTTTCTTGGAATTGGGGTGCATTCATGGATGGGAAGGGTCTGGAAGCAAATTTTTTTTTAAAGTAGAAACTGAAAATGCAAGGGAAATGTAAATAAAAAAATAAATAAAAAGAAATAAAAAAGTAAAAGCATCAAAGTAAGTTTGAGTTATATGCCCCCAGAAGTCAGGTCAAGGTTTACCAAGCAAAAAAGAGAACATTCACACTCACACAGCATTACATTATACAGCAAGGAAGATGCAAGAGAAAATATGTAGATATATAAAAAAATTTTTCTGCAACCTTCCAAGCTGCAGTGGATACAAAATCTAAGAAAAAGGATCTCTGACCTCCTTAACCTCAGGCGAGTCTCAATCCACCCCCAGAACTCCCTTCCGGCCTGGTGTGAATGTAATTAAGGGTAAGAGCCCCTGGTAATTTCTCTCCTCATTAACTTCCTGATTGGTTTCAGCCTCAGGATTCTGCCGGGCAGTAGTTTGTCACCAATTCCAAATGGCCAATCGTTAATACTAATGTTTGTGTAACTAACTGCCAGCATCCGCAAGGGCTCCTTGTACGACAATAATGGTGAGAGGGGACATTAGTGCTCCTGTGCTAATTCACCCTGTGTTCATCAATAAGGAAATCTATGATGTAATTAGCAGAACACAAGGGGAGCAGGGCGCCCCAGTCCTGTGTAGAGAGCGAAATCGCAGTAGAAGCTGGGCTGAGGCCTGATGTGTCTGCCATCAATACTTATTATGTTTGGAATTTAATAAGGTATATTACTGTGCTGAAGAGAGACCTTTTTACAAGGGTACACTATTTATGCTTGTTATAGGGGCTGGAAAAGAAGGTCTGCGGCAGCGAGTGGCTGCGGAGATAAAAAACAGCTGGACCTGACTGTTTCAGGAAGCTGGGCGCGAGCGTACACGCGCACACACACACACTCTCACACATAAACACACACACTCACACTCTGACCCTATCAACTGTGACAAATGGGCAGACGGACAGATAGATGGACAGTTTTATAGAGCTACCCCAAGATCCAAGAAGAAATGATTATTTGCAAACAAACACAAAGCAATAATATACTGAGAAGCATGTGCTTGGGGCCCTGTTATTTGAACCCAAAATTTAAATAAAAAGCAAAGGTTCAAATTGTTTTTTGTGTTGCATTTCCCCCCCCCCCC